AAGGGAAATGGCACCCCTTTGACCAAAAGTCAACCAACAAACTAATAAATGATTGACGGAGGTTACCAAGGATTTTATGCTAAACCAATAACATTATTAACATATCACTGACCCTATTAAAATCACACTTCCGTAAAATTTTAATGCCAAAAAACAACTAAAACTCTAATAACAAGTTGTTCTTCTTGGCACACTTAGTTGACCTCTAGCAAATTAGTGTCTCATTAATCTTTTCTACTTTGTGCCCCTCTTTCCTTTTCTTTTGACCGTTTTTGTTCTCCTTCAACCCTCTCTTGTATTCGGACTTCTATAAATTTTGGTTTCAAAAAGATTCTCACATATATTAAAGAATAACACGTTATTTCAAACCAAATAAAAATAGTGTCAGATGAAACAAGCCATGAAGTTAAGCTTTTTTTGAATGACTATGTTTTTTGTTTAAACCGTTACCTGCGAAGTTGCAGCATACTAATTTATATAGGGTATATCCTCCATGAATTTTAAAGAATCTTATTATAAGCCAACGTAGTAAGAAACCAAGAAGCTTATATAAGATGTATGATGTATTAGTTGAATTATTTGTGGTATATTTTACTGTTTTGATGAATATTTATATATGCCTAAAGCATATATTAATTCCATCGTCAAACTTATGATTACATCTCTTACACATTGATATTGTACTTGGACAACATAAGCTGAAGTTTTCAATAATCTTAATGAGCTCAAAAGAAATGTTGTGGTTAAAAATTTCGACAATAGTTTCTAGGCTCTGGATACAATTAATTTATTTTGTTGGTTGATTTTTGGGCAAAGGAGGTTCCTTTCCCATTCAAAAGATGAAGGGGTTTTATTTTCCTACACTAAAAGGTTAAGGAGGTGAAGTCGAATTTACTCTAAAAATATTATATTTGTGCTCCTCGCATGTGATATATCATTATCTATCCTTGCTTTAACATAATGTTTAACTTCTTTTTATCCGAAGATATTAAAAATGTATCATTGTCATCAGTCATCCGAGAGTAATATATCACGAGTAAACTACATCAAAAACTTAGTGCAAACCATAAGTTAATATAGTTATATATACAGACATGTTTTTAAAAATTCAATGAGGGTTATTTATATAAATAGAAAAATATAATTCAAGGGAGTTTCTATGATACAAGATATTTTAAGTTAGTAACTAACAAAAAAATAGTTTAAGAGGGATTTACGCTGAGTTAAATAGCTGCGTATAGTGTCACATATCAAAAAATTTAGTTAATTAGGAGTGTGTACCAAATTCACATCTAAGAATTTAACGACAAGATTTTTAATATATAGGAGAATACAGTATAAGGGATTTTGGAAATACCGAATAATTTAAGTGATTGACAAAAACGTGATAGTTTAGGGGATTTTAGAGTATTCTCGCAAATTAAATGATCAATGTTAGCATAGAGTAATTACAATTCTGACCTCAATCGACCTTCAAATCATCAAATCTCACTTTTCCAAAATCATAGTGAAAAATCCTTAAATTTTCTCTTAAATTCACATAAACTAGGTGTAATAATCTGTGGGTAAGTAGTATCTATCATCAAAATTAAATAAACTTCACTTACCTCTTCAATTGTAGTGAAAAGTCTTCCAAAAATTGCCTCCAACCGATCTCCACAACTCTAAATAAATAAAAAATGACCAAACCTTTCGAAATATAAAGTTTGCCCAGTGATTCCGTATTTGTGCCCACTTAACCACATCTGCGGTGCCACTTCCGCTGTCAACTCATCGCATTTGTGATTCCCTTCTCAGCGCTGACCTTCCGCTTTTGTGGCTCAACATGCACTTCTGCTTTTGCTAACAATTCACCGCACCTGCGGTCCCTGCTCGACCATCCCAAATCCGCTTATGCGAAGGAATCTTCGCTTTCGTGATTGCGCATCAGCGCTCATTTGTTAGCACTTGCGGATCCAACCTTCCCCAACCAATCAACGCATATTCGACCAATCAGCCGCTTATGTGGCCTCACACCTGCGGCCTAACCATCGCAGGTGCGGAAGCGCCATAACTTAGGAAACTTCAGCAATGCAACCAAGTCTCAAAATGGTCCGCAATTAAATTGAAATGCACCCGGGCCCCCGAGACTCCATCCAATCACACCAACTAATCCCAAAACATAATACGAACCTGTTCAAGATCTCAAATCACCTTAAACAATATCAAAACTACGAATCACACCCCAATTCAAACCTAAGGAACTAATGAATTCTCAACTTTCAAAAATCGTACCGAACCATATCAAATCAACTAGTAATGACCTTAAATTTTGTATGCAAGTCCCAAATAACATAATAGATCTATTCCAACTCCCGGAACCATAATCTTATCCCGATATCAACAAAGTTAACTCTCGGTCAAACCTATCAACCTTCAACCCTCCAACCTTTGCTAATCCACGCCAAAATGACCAAGGAACTTTCAAATTCGGACATACACCTAAGTGTAAAATCACCATTCCAACCTAATGGAATACATAAAATGTTAAATGTAGTCAACTCTTCCAACTTAAAGCTTCTAAAATGAGAATCCCTCTTCCAAATCAATCTCGAACCGCTCGAAAAACGAAATCGGCCATACACACAAGTCATAATATATCATATGAAACTGCTCAAGGTCCCGAACCACCGAACGGAAATGTAAATGATCAAAACGACCTGTCGGGTATATGTGTGTGTGTGTGTGTGTGTGTGTTCTAGGTTTTTCTTCTGATCTCCATATTGGTTCCCTCTTAAATCTTCCTCTCTTGTTTTCTCTGTAATTATTTATTCTCTTTCTTATTTTAGTTATTTTTTATTTCTTACCCATATTATTGAAAGAACACCCATTTAAATATTTTTATTAAACCTAATCCTTATAGAGAATAAAGTTAAATCGATTGAAACTTGTTTATGTAATATAGAATTAGAGAATATTATTGCTGGACGATTGGTTTCTTGTTTGTAGAATATGGCTTTGTGTAATCTTATTTGTATATTATAAGATGATTTTAAAAATGCAACACTATATACCTTCATTTTTTTTCTTGCAAAGTGAATGCAAGCAAGGGCTTATTCAACTGTAATCTAGCAAAAAACATAATCACAATTAAAATTACAAATAACACATTGCATTAGATTCTATTTTGGCCAAAATACCTATAATTTATCAGTCACACCCAACGAAGGTTATTAATATATACAAAAATATAGTTCAGGAGAATTTTTAGGACATAAGATAGAGTAAGCTGATAACTAAAATAAGTTTAAGTGGGGTTTAGGCTGAGTTAAATAGCCACATGTCAAAGTTTTTAGTTAATATGAGCGTGTATCAGACGGACCTCTAAGAATTCAACGAAAGATTTTTTTTAACGAAAAAGGGCCTAAAATGCCCTTTTACTATATGAAATAGGACAGGCTAGCCCTCCGTTAAAAGATAGTCTCTATTTTGCCCTTGTCGTCAACAAACGGGCTTGTATATGCCCTCCATCACTAACGGAAGACTCATAAATCCATGTGGAATATATGTGAGGGCAAGTTAGACCTAGTTCGAATTGTACAGGGACATATATGAGTCAGTTATAATAGTCATTTCTCAAACACTTCACAGTTTCATATCAGTTTACTTAGTCATCTATTTGACAACACCAAATTAATTATCATAGCAAATAAACCCAGTCATGAACACAACAAATGAATGGCAATGACTTTATTAAATCTTTGTATAAAAACGTAAAGCTTCATTACATAATAAAAGACAACAATTAAGTCACAATAACACTAACATTACATATCATTTTGCACTGATCGAAAGAACATAACAAGACATCCCAATACCACACACATGAAAATTCACATCTTCTTCCGAAATTTAGCATCAAGCATAATGAGTACTCTAAATTGGTCACTTTCTTTATTAGAACATTTCTTTCCAATTCCAAGGCTTTTATTCCTCCATGATCGATGAGCATCATAACATTCTCAAGATCAATTTTCTTTAGCATTTCTTTCACGGATTAGAACTTTCTTTTCCTTCTTTAAACTACATATGAGATTTGAAACTCTAGGAGGAAGCTCTTCATCTTGCCATTCCCAATAGGAATATTTTTCATCCTAAAAACCAAAAATAAATAAAATAAATTTACAAGCAAATCGGAATAATTAAGAACCCATCAAAAAATTTACTTACCTCATGCTTCGGGCACTTGAAAAACCTCCTCCTAGCATTTAAAGGTGTCCATGCCATGAAATAATTGGCAGTAAATCCGTAATGACACCTCCTATTCGACCCATTTGAGCTACTAGAGCATTCCGACATTGTCTTTTGTTGTCTTTTGTTATGATTCGATCCATTTGAGCTACTAGGATTTAATAAAGTCATTGTCGTTCATTTGAATGTTTGTGTCTATGACTTAGTTTATTTGCTGCGATAATTAGTTTGGTGTTGTCAAATAGGTGTCTAAGTAAACTGATATGGAGTTGTGAAGTGTTTGAGAAATGGCTATTATAACTGACTCATATATGCCCCTGTACAATTCGAACTAGGTCTAACTTGCCCTCACATATATTCCACGTGGCTTTATGAGTCTTCCGTTAGTGATGGAGGGCATATACGAGCCCGTTTGTTGATGGCAAAGGCAGAATAGAGACCAACTTTTAACAGAGGGCTAGCATATCCTATTTCATATAGTAAAGGGGTATTTTTTTAAATATACAAGAGAATAAAGTTTAGGAGGTTTTTGGGACATCGAATAATTTAGCATATTCACCCAAAATTAAATGATCAACGTTTAGCATAGGATAATTGCAAAATCCTTCATTACTCAACTCGTACCAGGGACAAGATCCCTTATTCTCCCGATAAAATATTCAAAAATCTTCTTTTTCATTTTCATTAGTATAAACAAAGTGAATGAAGTACGTTTCTTATTTTTTGATCTCATTATTGATTGCATTTGACTTCTAATAATTTCAAGAATGTAAAGAAGAGCAAGCATGCAACACATCAATTGTCTTAATACATAATATTGGTTACAAATTACTATTGAGATGGTTCTTTGACAGGCTTCCCTTTCTCCCTTAGCTTGGCTATGGATTCTTTCATAGCTTCCTTTCTTCTCTTGCTAGCTAATACTTTTGCCATGACACCATTCATATTTGGGTCCTTTTTCTCCTCTGATGTGGGTGGGGGTGGTGGAGGCCTTCTTGCAGCAGCATTTGCATTGTTGTTACCTGCATTTAGCGCAACTCCGGCCAAGCCCAAGGCAAGACTCCTGCGAGAGAGAAGAGTTGTATCCAATTTTTTATCATGAAAAGCCAAAGGGATACTCTTCTTGGTTGATATTGAGGCCAATGTCGTAGCTGCTGCAATTGGAGACAATGACTGAGCCATAACTTTGCTTGGGCTGTTTGCTTTCTAAATGAATTGATATATTTCTACAAGTCAAGAAGACGAAATGTTCTTCTGTGGTCTTGGTGCGCTTGGATAATCAAGCAATTGGGATTCGAATTTTTATTGGTTGGTTCTTGATAAGTTGTTTTAGTGGGACCCTTTTTTTAGGGAGAAATTCAAAAATAGCTGGTTACAAGTGGTAATTAAAAAATAGTCACAGTTTCAAAAGTAATTGAAATTTAGCCATTTTTTATGTAAAAGATAAATATGAACAAAAACAATGTTCAAAATTCGAAAAATATTCCAGCATAATATGTTGGAGTTATGCTAGAATTTTATAATCTGTTGGAGTTCCAACATAATGTGTTGGAAGTCCATACACAAGTGCTTCAATCTCTAGTATATTATACTGAAATTTTCTGTGTGTTGGAGTTCCATCATAATATGCTGGAAGTTCATACACAGGTGCTCCAATCCCCAGTATATTATGCTGGAACTTTCCGTGTTATCACAAAATAGTGACTATTTTCAATAACTTTGCAAATACTATCTATTTTTTAATGGGATTTTTTCATTCCTATACACTATTTGAAACTTTATTACGAAAAATGTTCATGTTTTGGTATTTACCCGACTTAGACAAGTTTTGTTTACAAAATATATACATTTCACCTTAAAGGGCTCCCAATTCATTATTAGTGCCTTCAATCAAGGGACTTAGTTAAACCCTTTTCCTTCTTTTTTTTTTCTCCCTCTTCTCTTTCTTCTCTCCAGAATATTGGTACGGGATCTCTCCTGCGGTTGCTTTGAAACCTTGGGATCCATGAACAGATTTGTCTAGTAATCCATAAGCCCTCCTCTTGCTGACGAAAACACCTTAGTCGTGACTTTCTTAATTGCAAAAACAAGTAAAAAGTAAAAGAAAAATCGAAGAAGGTATACATCAAGCGATTCAAACATTAATTAAATTCCACTGAATTTATAACACACAAGCAACTACTAAGTTGTAAGGAAGATAAATGATCTATATCAGAAAGCAATATGAAATACATTGGAGAAAGGCTAATTAGGAAGGAGCTTTATTTAGTGATCGGGGATTAGATCTAATCACTATCGATGTCATTGTTGCTGTTGTCATGCCCATCGTGCTTCTTCTCATTTTTGTCTTTCTTGTCCTTTTTCTTCTTCTTCTCATCTTCGTCCTTGTGATGGTGCTCTCCATCTTCTACCCAGTTATATACAACTACAATATCATACCACTTAAATATAATTTTTATACAAATTTTATATAATATGTCTTTTGTATATTTTGTATCTGATTTATACATAGTAAGCACAAATTTCATATAACTAATTATATATACCGAAAAAGCCTAATTTTTTTAACATACTCTTAATTGCAGCGCCTCAATTTCACACTTAAAATTAGTCTGTTCGCATCTTCATATTTTCTCTATAAATAAACAAGTCAAAAATCAGTACCAATACACCCTTTTAAAAGTTTACAAAAGCAATTTCAATTTTATAAGAAAATAGATGAAAATAGCTTCAGATTCAACCACTTCTCTGTTCTTGACACTATTCCTTATTACACAAATACAATTTGTATACAATTTTATAAAATACATCTTTTGTACATTTTGTATCTGATTTATACATAGTAAAAATAAATTTCATACAACTAATTATATATTATACAACTTATCTACATCTTTCACACATTATTTCTATCCAGTTAAATACAACTACAATAACATACAACTTAAATATAAATTTTATACAAACTTTATACAATATGTCTTTTGTATATTTTGTATCTGATTTATACATAGGAATGAAGGACTTACAACTAATTATATATTATACAACTTTCACACATTATTTCTACCCAGTCAAGTACAACTACAATAACATACAACTTAAATATAAATTTTATACAAACTTTATACAATATGTCTTTTGTATATTTTGTATCTGATTTATACATAGTAAAAATAAATTTCATACAACTAATTATATATTATACGTCTTATTTACAACTTTCACACATTATTTCTACCCAGTTAAATACAATTACAATAACATACAACTTAAGTACAAATTTTATACAAACTTTATACAATATGTCTTTTGTATATTTTGTATCTAATTTATACATAAGAATGAAGGACTTACAACTAATTATATATTATACAACTTATCTACAATTTATCTAGAATTTTCATACATTATTTCTACTCAGTTATATACAACTTAAATATATTTTTTATACAATGTTGTACAACTTTCATACAATAGTTAAATGAATAAAAGAAAAATAAATAAACAACAAAATACAATTTTTCTACAATTTTTCCATAATTTTACTACAATTTCTGCAATATAATGTATGTCATGCCTTCTTCTTCTTCTTCTTCTTCATCATCATCTTCTTTCAATCTGAAATTCAGCCAAAATCAAGTCTAATCTTCACCAAAACCCCTCAAAATTGAGATATAAACTTCAAATCATATTCCCAATTATTTGCAACAACACCCAATCCAAACAAATAATGATTTTTGAAAACCCAAATTCGAATTCAAAGCTTCAAAGCTTTTTAATGGCTGTCAATGGTGGAATTGCTCCTCTCTTTTCCTTTGCTTTACATTACTGAAATTTAAGATTGCGAGATAGAGAGAGACGTAGAGAGAATTCTCAATTCTTTGCAACAACATTCAATCCAAACAAACAATGTCTTTTGAAAACCCAAATTCGAATTCAAAACTTTTTAATGGTTGTCAATGGTTGAGGGGTTACAGATTTTCGCAGGTTTTAGAAGAGGAAATAGTGGGTGATTGAAGAGGAAATCGTGGGGTGTGGTTTGATACGTGGGTGAGGAGTGGGATTTGGAGAGAGAAACTTGGGGAAATGAGAATATACGGTAGAGTTAAATTAGGAGACTAATTAATACCATTAAAATACATAAAATATACATAAATGATAATTAGGTATATAAAAGGTAATTATATTAAAAGTTAAGCATGGAGGGTAATAGAGTTTACTATATGACATAGAAATGTAAAAATCTCTTTTTTAATTACCTGTCCGAAAATTGACAAGTCCGTGCTACTTTGACTTCTTTCTGATATCCGAAGACGTAAACTTTGCAGTACGTTTACAATCGACCCACGACCCAAGTAAGGCTGTATTGTGGGTCGGGCCTAGCCCGGGACCATTAGCAAACGGGCCGGTTCAAACGGGTCGGTCCCTACCGGTCCTAAAAGCCCACTGTGGGCCGGTCCTCACCAAATAGACCGCGAGCCCGGGACCGTTTAGCCCGGGATCGGCAGGCGGGCCTGGGCCAGTTTAACTGAGCCAAACGAGCCAAACGACTATTTTCAAAAAAAAAAAAAATTAGAAATTGGGCAATGATTTTATATTTAAAAACTAGTCGTTGGCCTGCCAATTTAGCTGTTTAGATTTTTAATAAATAGTTATTTGGCCCCCAAACTTTGTTTTAACCAAACTTTTTATAATTACACTTTTTCTCTATTCTCAACTATAAATACCCCTCATTCTTTCATTTTTACTCACAAATTCATCAATCTCTCTCATTTCTCAAACTCAAATTGAAGCATTCAAGTCTTCACTCATCTCTCATTTCTCAAACTCAAATTCTTAATTCAAGTTAAATCATGCCCGGTGATTCTAGATTGCGCCCATTTGTTTTGGAACACTTTAATGTGGTAGAAAGAAATGAAGAAGTTTACATAATAAAGTGCAAGAACTGTGGTCGAGTCTACACTCATCGTCCAAAATTGGAGGGCACATGCTGTTTAAGGAAGCATATAAAGAGTTGTCTTGCGCGTTCTTCAAACATTCGTATTTAAGATTTTAAGTAATTTGAGACAATCTGTGTTATTTTAAAATTATTAGACGTATTATGCTTAACGTTTTAGTTTTGTTAGATTAATTTGAAGTATTATGTTGAAGATATTGAACTTTAATTTGAATTATTAAATGTAAACTTTAATTTGCCGTTTTAATACCGAATCTTTATATATATATATATATATATATATATATATATATATATATAATTTACAAGAAATTGCTTTAGATAAAAAAAA